CTGGGAAAGAAAAATCAAACGACTGCAGGTCATTCATATGAATCAAATCAAAAAGAGCTGCCTGGATACATTAACATTTGGCCTAAAACTCATTAGTCATGGTTTGCTACACAGTCATGAAGTATTGATAAAGTGTCCCTGCGGGTTTTTGGGTTGATTGCATGTGCAGCAGCTGTACGGAGGTCCTGCTTGAGTCATATACAACCCTAACAACAGAGGATGAGGGAGGCAGGGCAGGATGAGAACAAAGTGCTTCAGTACGTGCACTGGCTGCAATCGGGGCACTTGTCAAGAGGCTCTGTGGGCTGTTAAAACCCCCACCATCACCGCCCATTCTGATCCAGGCTGAGTACATCTATAAATGGCTTTTTCGCTCACTTGCTCACCATCAATCACTCACTCACTCACCACCGAATCAAACAGGAGCTAAAGATCACATTGTCACATTCCTGAGGCAAATCTGATACTCCCAAAGCAATGTTTGTTTTTTTGTCCAGACAAAATTATATTGTATTATGTACATAATGAGAATCGATCGCCTCTCTCGATTTAAGCCAGCACACCAGAGGAAGACTAACCCTGCCAGACTCGTACATTGGCTGCAACACGATCTTATATCGCTGAAACCAATCTGAAATCTTTGTGATTTTATCTTTGTGAGAAACATACACAGTCCCTGCACAAAAGGAAAACATTTTTTCTGTCCTTTGAAGGGGACGCATCAGGAAACAGGCGTCTTATACCTCTGATCATGGTGTTATCTTAAAACTGGGCGTGAAATTCAGTATCGTGTGTTCAGTTTCCACAGAGTTTCATTTCCAGAATGTGTTCGGAACACATTGCAAATAATGAGTCAGATAGTGACCTGAAGAGCAGACCCATTTATTGAATTAAAATATCCACTGTCGTACATTCATTCACATCATAGATTTAGGAGTTGTTTTATTACTCATTGGCTTTTCTCTGTCAGTGTCATCTTCTACCTCAGTCACTGTTTCCCTGTTTTCCTAGAACTGAATGATCAATCAATTCGTTATATCCTTTTTAACATGAACAAGCATTTGCTTGTTTTTTCTCATTTTATTTTAAGTTATATGTATTGGGAGTGTTGGGTCAGACAAAACAAAATTTTGAAGATGTCAGCTTGGGCTATAAAATTGTAATGGGTATTTTTCAAAATTTTATATACCAACCACTTAACTGAGAAAATAACTGGCATATTAATCGCTGATGAAAATAATTTTTAGTTGCAGTTGCTGTTTACATTTCCCCAGACAAATGTTTGGCAGCCCTGTGAGAAAACAAAGTCCCTTAAATTTCTCAGTATTTCATTTTAGAACCGCGAATATGCACCGCAGTATTCTCCGTTTTTGGCTGTTAGTGACAAAAACGGTCTCTCTCTTCTTCTCTTCTACAAGGTATTTTTCACCTGTCCAACAGTACAGACATGCATCGCTGTCATTACTAGTCTGGTAAATGATAAACACACGCTCGGCCATACACAAGAGAGCCCTGTCCTTTCCATCCATACAGACCAGCCACACCCAGACTATGATCTCATGCTGTAGCCTTCAGCCTGTCTGGCCTGAGCATCCCTGGAGGATGGGGAGCAGCTTAGGCAAGAGATAGGCAACCTCATTAACACAATCAATTCCATAGCGTCCCGTCCACCACGACAATTCAGCCCTCTCCGCTGTCTGTATACCAATGGGCAGTGGCAGGGCCTTCACTCCAGCGACAGGAATTGAACTTTGCAAATGTGAAATCAATTGAAACCCATGCTCCAATGACAGACACTAAACAAATGGGGACTTGCAGTACAAGCAACCCTATGCTGAATTGTTAACAGAGAGCCTGCTGTAAACAAAAGATGAGGGGGATTAATTTTTCAATAGCATGTCTGAAGTCTCTTTCTGAAATTAAATGTAAGCATCGCCTCACAAAGGGGCAGCGTGTTAATATTTCATGCACATGCTTTCAGTCTGGCCAGTGCATTTCAGTTAAAAACTAGATCATGTAAAGGTTTCTACAGAGCACTAATACATTATGACATATTCATCAGATTGGCCAGTTGTTTTGTTGTGATTGCTATTGTAGGATGTGTTACATACATAAGTTGTAACCCTTTTGGATCTTTGGGAAAATGCACAAAGCTCTACCATCTGTGTGAAACATGCCAAAACTTCACATCATTTTGTGCGATTATTGTCCACAACTGATTCTAACTCAACCAAAGACTTAGATAATTACTAAGTAAACTCTCCAGCACAAGAGAAACAACACACTAAGCAAACATTATGGACATTGAAAATGACATCTCTTATCTCAACTAATTATCCCCTCTGCCAGCTTCAAACTGTTAGTCTTTGAGCCAGCGGTGGAACACCAATCAGAACAAGAGACTTCAGCCACTGAGAGGATCCTATTTCTAGCTGTGTCATCATTATCTAATCCCCACTGATTAAATATGTTCTAATAGTCTCTAGAAATATATTAAATAGAAGATAAGACACGGCCACAAGAAAGGAAGAAAACAGTTTTCTCAGCCCGTTTTTGACCAGGTGACAATCCATCAACACAACCTCTTTATTCATGCATGAGCATCTTTTTGTCTGGGATTTGTGTGGTGATCTGTGACAAATGTCTGCTAGTGCTTAACTGGACAAATGCACACACAAAGACAGGAGAATTAACTGAAACACAAGAAACAAAAGACATACAGACCGGCAGACAGAATCATTTAGAAAGCTACAGAGAGAGACAAAAATAAACAACATGGAGATGCATTCATTACACATTACTCACCTTTGTGCCCCATCATGACAGCGAGGTGCAACGGCGTGTTTCCTGAAGAAGAGGGAGGAAAAAATAGAATTTGTCAGCTGCCTTTGATATCAAGAATACGAGACGAGAGTCTGTGACAAGCACTGTGCCTCTAGGACTGTCACACTCAGGGTGAATTAAATGCTTAAATTGGGAGGCAGAATCCACTAAATCCCAAATGATATGGTAAGTATATGCCTATAGTGTGTTCTCCTACCCTGACAGGCAATATTATAGTCTATTAACCTACTCCACCGCCGAAGTAAGCTGCGTTAAACAGAGGCATGGCTTGTTAACTGGCATAAAAGGTAAACACAGCGTGGTAAAAATGCATTCAGGGAAAACAACATTTTAAGGTCAGGTGTGGAGAAGCACAGGTTTTCTACCCAGGATGTGAAATGTGCCTCTTAAGTGTTGGAAAATCCCTCAAGAGGAAGCCAGACTGCCCCGTCAGCTCCTTCAGGCTTCTCTTCCAGAAGAAGGGCGGTGGGCGAGCAGTAAAGAGGGCCTGCTTGCAGAAGCCCGATGTTGTGATAAATGGCTGGCAATGGTTCAGGGGGAAGAGCGGGTTGCCCACTAATCGGAAGATTGGCGGTTCAATCCCCGGCTCCTCCAGGCTAGAAAGGCGCATACAAATACAGAGCATTTACATCATAAACTAGGTAGGGCAACGGCACAAGTGAAGTCAATTTCTGGTCACACAAAGATGTTGGAGGCCTGTGGTTGGTTGCACACACACACCAACAATCACGTCTCTGTTCAAGTGTCCTTGGGTAAGACACTGAACATCTAACTGCTATTGCACACCTGCCAGTGACGGTGTCATGCAGATAGATTCAGTTTCTTCCGCTGAAGTTTGGAGATATTTGTCTCTGTGATGTTTACTGTCAATCCAGTTCAATGGTGGTGAATGGAATTTTACTGGTATTACACAAAGCATTGAAAAATTGTTTTTAAATCATACATCAACCAAAAACTGCCAAAAGTGAATGGTTCCAGCTTCTTCTTCTTCTTCTTCTTCTGAAGTCAGGACTGGACAACACTGGCGCACAATACCAATATTATCTGAACGGACTGATACAACTACTGGTCATGTTTTCTTGTGATGTGGATCACATAATTAAACATCACTATAACAGTTACCTGTACATTATATTTGCTTTACATGTGCCCAATGGGAACAACAGAACAAATAATAAAGCTTGATCTTTGTATTGACTGTTAATCAACGCCAACTGATTTGAATGATATTGTGTGACAGTCAGGCTTCAGCATGTATCCAGTGGAAGCTAAACTGATATGTGAGTAAACACACAAACTACTGCCACTGAGCCGCGCCAACCCTCTTCAAGACGGGGCGAAAAAGCCTTTGAAAAATACAGGCTCAAGTTCTAAAAACAACACCAGAGGCGAATGCCCAGTTGCATTGCAACATGTCAGAGCTCTGATTTGAAGACATGCCACATTCCAGCTGTGACACCGAGCACCAGATACAGGCCATCAGTTGTCTCGGCAGGTGAACCAAACAAAATAATCTCCTCATTTTGTCCGTTCAGGGAGTGTTTCTTTGGAAATGGTGGTGTTATCTGAGCAGACTTTGCCCTGCAGAAGAGGTGCTATCTGTCTCCGATAAGTAATAAATATTCCCTAAATCCTTTGACTCCTGCCCTATGCACCAACGTCTAATAAGCATTTAACCAAAGATAGCTTATCTAGGTTTTTGTGACTGATCTGTAGGTGGGATGGGGCATAGAGCCTCTAAAGAAAACAATCTATCTTATGCACTTTTTTGTTCGATTTACTTGAAGGCACTGGATTTCAAAATACTGTAGGGTAGTGGATTCAAAGTATTCCTTATTTTGGGAATCAGTTCTCCAGGCCTTGGTAGGGAGAAGCCTCGCCTACTTCCAGTGCTGCTGGAGACTGATGGCCTATCAGCTAACTAAAACTGAGCTTCCCCGGACCTTGTAATTGGTCGATTGTGACTGGTTTGGGGGGGATCCTGCCTAATAAAGATAAACAGCTGGTGGGCTCACCATGGACGTCTTTCTGGGCGATATTCTGCGTCCGTATGAGGGAAGACAGGCGTCGGACATCTCCTTTAAAGACACATTCATGCACCGGAAAGTCTTGCGCGGTTCGGATAATGGGGTTTTTGTTGTTGTCATCGATGACATCCGACGTTGACAGCGTGTTGGTGTTAGCATTAATCTGCGACTGTTGGTTCTGCTGCTGCGTGGACGAAGACTTGTTTAACTTGTGATTACTGAAGATTTTACTCGCTCTGCTCTTGTTGTTCGTCTTGGAGGCGGTGAACGTCCCGGTTGCAGCCTCCTCGTCCGGCTCCAGTAAATCCTGGTCCTTGCTCGGCCTGTGGTCCTTGCGCAGGGAGCGGATCTTCTCTCCGGTCATTTTCTAAACAGCTGACGCTAACTGAGCAGAGGGTGTCGTCGCTGACGATGACCCTCCGGGCGAACTGATGCGATCCGCCAGTTAGGGAGTCTTCACGCAAACACTGTAAATTGCACAACATGAAAACACTTAACTTAACCCTCCGCTGGATATGCAAAAAACGACAGTTTGTTCGAAGACGAACAAAGAGCAGCTCCCGTTCACCGGTTAACGATGAAAACAAACCGTTCGCTCTGCTCCTATCGTCCAAAACTATCGCTGGTTGCTGCACAACATAAGCCGCTCCAGTTGACTACAGAGCATCTTTGCTAGTACGGAAGATTCGGCTGATGTCTTCCGCCTCGAATTATCGCGAGAGTTCAGGATAGGTTACTAACGGTCACAAGCTCATGCTTGTTCCTTCAATACATTTCTATCTAATATTTAACACCCAGTGAGGAAAAGTAACCAAGTTTATTTTCTCAAGTGTTGTATTTAAGTACAATTTTGAGGTTTCAGCTATAGTGACTGTAGTAACATATTATTTGGTCACTTCATAAGGCATTATAGAAATAATAATACACCCAACAGCACAGACAACTTCATATCATGGGAAAACTGATAAGACTAGCTCCACTTCAGGCAGCTACGACATTAAAATGCAAAATCCAAAAACAATAATACAATTCGGCCGCTTTCAGAATGCAATAATGTGACACACTCAAAGGGGTCATTCTGCATAATGACGTACTTTTCAGAATCAGCTTTATTGACCATGTATGTGTACAGCCTACATATAAGGACTTTGACTCTAGTTTTTCCTAGAACAATTTTCAGGAAGACAGACTGAAATAGTCATAAGCCTAGACCATGGGTTGGCAATGCTGGGAAGAAGTATTACTTCAGTAAAAGTACACATATATCATCAATAAAATATACTTAAAATTATTCGTTATGCAGAAAATGCTTCTGTAAGAGTTATTTATATCACGTTATTGAATTGTTTACTAATGCATCCATGTGTAAGTAGCATTTGAGTGTTGAAATTGGTTGGAGTGCAGCTTTCAAATGCTTTTCAAATTATTGTATAAATTAAATGACTGTACTGTGTATTATTAAAATAGACTATACAGTAATACAGCACAGTACTGTATATAAAATATAGCTTACTGTAGTTCAAATTATAATTAGGCTAGAGCCTAAAACAGAATTGGGCTTTATACAAAATGGCAAACAGGCTACTAAGCCACAGCTTGGCGGTGGATTTAAACAGGCCCGAAAATGAACTGTAGGCTATCATTACCGAACTGGTAGCAGAGTTCGAAAACAAACGTCTTCATAAAATATTCAGATATTTTTGTTGTCATGTATGAAAAGACCCAAAAACAATACTGTAAGCGGACTACTTTATTACGAAGCAAATTTTTTAAACATTTGTATAGGAATGATTCTGTCCCAAGCTTTTTGATCCATATAAGAAGTTTCCACTGTATCAAAATGTGAATTCTAGTTGTACAATAAATATGGTCATTTAAATAGAATAAATCCCTCAAAAGTATAAGGTAAGTGTAAGGTAACATAAAATGACAATAGGGTATAGTAAATAATTATTACTTCAAAACTGTTCAATTTACTTTGAATTATAAAACTGATCAAAGATGACATCAGCAACTATTCCAGACATACAGATAGTTAATTATTTCCAGTCTTCTAGTTGACTTCAGGTTATAGTCAGATTAGATAAATAAGCATTAGGCCTACGGCCTTCTAGTATCTTACAGTCCTCAGTTAAACATATATGTAATAAAACATCTCCACACAAGTCCACAGCAATACTTGAAATAATCTTTATTTCTACAGACAATAAGACAATTTCTATAGAGTTTTCCCCATAGCTGGAGAAGAGTGCTCACTTCACTATACATTTATTACATGTATCATGTCATATTATACAGTCATTATGGGTTCTGTGCTGTCTGTTCTTCACTTGCACTTATCAGATCCTTTAGGCAAGCATCTGTACATGAGTGTATGTACATACAACTATTTTGCTTATTTATGTTTATTATTTTATTTAATGTATGCATGCGTATGTTGTATGTACACAATATACAACAAATACACAGTGTATTACTGTGGCAATTACAGTGTACGGTGTAAATCTGATCATATTAGACTTTTATTTCAGCCTCTGTGCTTTTACTTAGGTTGACTGTTTATTATCTTCCGCCAGATGAAGCAAATCAACTTCCCCCCCTTCATTCCTCGACTCTCATGCATACACGCTGACACACAGCCTGAACTGCACTCCCTGACCCCCTCCCACATACTCCCAGAAACACCTGGCGGAGATCTCTATTAGTTATTTATGACTTTTGTATTTGTTTTCTTTCCTACCTCACTGAATATTGTTATCTGTTTCATAATTTATGTGACTTGGCTTTGCTATCTGTCTATCTATCTATCTTGGTTGTATCATCATCATTACCTTAATGTACATTATAGGCGCCAAACTAATTGTAGGATGTGTGCTGTGTGTGTGTCTTGCCACAATATTTAGCTTCCAGTGTGAGATTTGTTCCCCTTACATATAGATATTATGTCTGTAACATATTCTAGAGACACTGACACTGTGGTGAAAGGTGTAAAGAGCACTTCCTCCCCCTATGGCTCAAGAATGGAAGCACAGCTACACGAAATCTGTTTTGTGTGACAGGAGGAACTAAAATCCACACCATTCAATGTAGGCTAATATTTCACAACTACGACATCTTTGTGGAGAATATGCCTTGATACAGAGTGGTTACAGATAAGTTTAGCTTTTGCTCCTTTTTTTAGTTACTTGGATTGCATTTCGACTTTACAGACTGTTTTCTGCGTTTCTTAAAATAAACCCTACTGTAAAATTCAGTAGAACTAACTTGAAGTAAATCTTAAATAAAATGAGACAAAAGGTTTCAACCTCCCTGACTCAAGCAACAGGAAGCGTTACATCAGTACACACACAAGCACACACACGCACACACACACCCAAACGCAAACAACGTGCATGATCACATGGGTGGGACGCCCCTACTGAACAACCAATCAGCGGCTTCCTCTGCTTGTTGATGAGCGCTGATTGGCTCGCAAGGAGAAGCGCAGCGCACAGCCACGTTAAATGGCTTTCCTCTTTAGCATACCACGGTAATGCATACTCATCTTCAGTCGGCTTTGGTTCACGCTTGGGGGAGCGCATTGTTATGGAGTTAAATCGCAAAGAAGACGAGCAGAGCGATGTGTTCGCCGGCTTCAGCACGCCGTTTAAATCGTTCGCCACAGAGGCAATTCACGTCGGTCAGGAGCCGGAGCAATGGAAATCAATGGCTGTAGTGCCGCCGATCTCTCTGTCCACCACGTTCAAGCAGAACGAACCAGGAAACCACGCCGTAAGTAGCCCGATACGCCTTGGTTATTTTAGGAGGGTGTGTGAAGGCAGGAACGATCCGGTAGTAACCACGTGCGTGAAGCAGACCCTATCCAGCTTCAAGAAGGACGACTGAAATGGGCAATTATAAATTAATATTCAGTTGTTGGGTTGTATTTGGAGATATTTGAGACATAGAAACATGTCGGTAAATAAACTATAATCTACACTTTCTAGTGTATATACCTCTAAGACGTAATACACACAATACTGTCTGAATCGCTGTTGCCCTGTGGGTGGATGGATAAGACTTTGTTAAAGCAGCCAAATCACACAAGAATCACTGAACAGATCAACATAAATACACACAGAGATTACAGGAAATAGTAAACTTGTGTCTGCATAACTTACATTGACGTTTTTGTTTGGGTTTCCCCTATTTTAATTAGGCTACTTCTAGTTCCTCTTTAGATATGATTTTAATAGCTAGTGTATCCATGGCCATTAGGTAACAATGATAAAAAGCATCCATTTTCTTTTTACCTCCTTTCTATAAGAAAATAAAATAATTAAAACAAATAAATAAATAAAATATTAACTAGAAACTGTACTATTTAAAAAATCTAGGAGCATAGTAATCTATACACAACAATTGTAATATTCTATATATGGTTAGTGGAAGTCTGTGAATTGTCCTGTCTTGTATTGTGTTGTATTGATATAGCAAGGTGCTTTATTGGAATTGCATAGATTATTAATCCAGACTGAAACCAGCAGGGGGATATCCAGTTTTCCCTCTCTCAATCATATAGTGACTAGTTTAAATGGCACTGTTTGTTGCAACAAAAATGACTTATGCAACTGCTGTTTGTCTCTGTCAATGATTATACTGTAGGTTAGTCATAATTGGCTAACAGATTACAAGTTTGAAAGTACCACTGTTACAATTGCACACTCACATAAAATTAATGAGAGCAGAGGTAATTTAGGTTTATTGTGTGTGTTTTTCAATCAAAGGCACAATGCATTTGGAGGGTAATGAATGATCTTTAATGTTTTCCCCGTTCCAGGACTAATCGTGTGGCATATCCTCACATTTAACATGGATTAGAAAATTTGGAATGCCTATCTTATCTGTCAAACCAGAGTAAACTTGTAAAACTAGAACATCCATTATCTGCTTTACTACTGTATATTCTCAGATGGTGTTTTTCGCAGGGAGACAACCACACAAACCCTCTGTTCAAAGGCATAAGTAATCCATGACAAATCTCCTTCAGGAGTGCTAAATACTTCCACTGTCATAGAATCCAAATACTTCATTCAATTGTGTGTAAGCTTGTGGATCCCTCTCAGTATCTTTCTCATATACACAGCAACAATACCTGTATGTCCAAGGTGTCTGTCTGTCTATATATCTATATTCTCTCTCTCTATATCTAATCAGAGTTAGAGAGAGAGAGAGATAGAATCCTTGTAGCAAATGCAAGGTCTTATTTTAGGAAATATTTTTACATTCATTTAAACAAGGACATTGTTTAGTTTTCTCCCACCAATGAGCTTGTTTGCCTCCAAATAGTAAATTACTGGGTGGGGTTGTCTTTTCTCACCTTGTACCCTGTTATTTTAAACAGACCTTGACATAGTGTCTTACTTCACAGTAAGTATTGGTTCTCAGTTTTCAGTTGTCTGCATACACCTACATTATTAACAGATTATCCAACAAAAGACAAACAGGAGTTGCCAGTTTTTGTGCCACTGAAATAATGAAGCATTGAAGAGTTTTCATTGTTCTAATCCTGCAGGGCATAACATCTGAAATGTATGAATGCATAATTATGTTTGGGCAACCTGTCTGTTTATAACTAATTATAACTGTTTGGTGACTGAAGTGTCTTATCATGTTTTTATGTAGGGGTTTGAGTACAGCCGCAGTGGGAACCCTA